TCCTAAACTCTGTGTGTGATGATATTTTTCCACGTTTGCATCACCTCTCCTTCTGCCAACCACAAACTGGAGGAGTCTCGCTGCAGACATTTGTAAAACCAGAACTCTTCGCAGCTCTGCTCACGATCTCTCCTCCTCATCCTCTGCCGTGACCTCTGACCCCTGATCTTCTCCGTCTGGATCCTCCTCCACCTGTTGGTGTCCGACACGATGAGCCCTCCCCCGCCCCCGCCCCTCCCCCCATCGTCTGTTTCTGTTTAGTCTCTAACTGATCAGGGACTACACTCACTCTTCTCATTGTTCACGACAGGGTGGGAAATTAAATCCCTCAAATCCCCCTACTTCTACAGCCTTTTCTTTTCCTTAAATGTTCTTTGGCTGGTGAATGTATGTACGGAATCTCCCACTTTAATATTTATTCAAAAGAACAATACCCCCCATAAAATCTGAAATGCATATTTGTAGGGATGTAACGATATATCGAATATCGCGGTAAATAAATGTCTCAATACCGTCGTGAACCTTTATTTAACCCGATGGTCCCATTGAGATCATCGATCTCTTTTTCAAGGGAGACCTGTCCAACATGGCAGCAAGTAGATTACAAGATGAACATAAAACAACAGAGAACACAAAAGCACATCGTATTCACAGGGCTACATGAACATACTTAGAGACATTGACAAGTACCAACAGTATATTTATATCTCGCCCTGTCAATAAGCCTCACCTTCTTGGCAACAACGGTATTGTTTTTGAAGTGGTGGAGAGACAATGCACAGTTTGACCCACTGCTGTCACCCATGGCCTCAAGCATATTCATCTCTGCTCCCATGTCACATCAGTTACAAAGACAAAGGCTATTCATTATACCACAGCAGTGAGGATATGTAAACCCAGCACATACAATCCCAGCTGTCTACCTGGAAATGTTGGAACATGCCTCATATCTCCTAAATGAGTAACCTTGATGATGCTGAGTGAGTGAGATTAGTGAGTTAGAGTTTGAGTTTACTGAAAAAACTAAAGTGAAACTTGATTTATTCTATTGCTGGGTCTGATTATGTAGTATTGTTGACACTTTAAAATACTACTATCGCTACTAAAAATACTGTACAAATCCAGATTTATTATTTAATAAAAATTTTTTTTTAAATTCCCTTTTTATTTTGCAATATCAGGAATAAATATCGTACCGTGGACTTTTTATCGCGATATTTAGTACCTTGAGTTTTTGATATCGTTACATCCCTACTATTTGTGGTTCACTTTCCTGAGTACAACCTTGCAGGATGTTGGCATCATCAGCCGTAAGATGCAACGCTTTCTTCTCCTATAATACAGAACTAGATGGCACTTCTGTTTGTTGTTTCGCAAACTGCATAACATACATAGAAAAATAAAAGAAGTCGACAGTATATGTCTGTTTCAGAAGCCCATCGTCAACCCAACCTGTGTGTGACAGTGGTTCACGTACGTAAACGTTATGCCTCAATCCAGCCAGCTATGTGGATTGAATGATTTGCACTGTGTATTGTAATTGTCCTACCTGTTGACCTCTAACATGCAAGAATCATTCACTTCAAAGCCATGGCATTTCTATGAAAATCCACAAACTCTACAACGCTTGATTATGATAATGGAAATGGTAATATTAAATATGAAGAATGCGAGTAAGAAAAGGGTTTTCCGTTGCAGCAGTAGTTGATTATGATTCCAAATATGAAGCAAACCTTTGGCTTTACTGTAACTTTTTTTGGGAGGGAAATTAGCAGAAGATATTTCAGAATGCACCCACTACAACATTTCAGCCTTTTAAGTTTTTTGTTTTTAATTAAAGATGGGGAAAGAGGTTTAATAAAAGTGTAAATTATTCTGAGTAAGAAAACTGATTGATTACTGTGAATATGCCTGCCAGGTAGATATTCTGAATTCAATTACACTTTTTCACACATATTTAGCAATAAGGGAAGTACTCCGTCCTGTATCCTCCTCCACTAAGCAAGGAGACACGGCTTCTTGCTTAGATCAGCACATTATGAGTAGCAAAGACTTTCTATGAAATGGCTTTTCAGGAAGAAAACAACAACTTATTTTGGATGAAGTTTTTGTGCA